CGGGTCTTCAGCCAATCCGTTCGAGCATTTGAAATCACGCTGGGTCAAGTCAGATTGTATTTCAAACTTATTATAAGCTCAAGTTTTTCTACTTAAAGTTCAAGTGTCACATTAAAATAAAATTACTCTAAATTTATTTTTTATTACTCTGAAGATTTTTTTTTCAATATGAAAATAGAAGCCAGCCGGCAACAGGACCATGTTCCAAGAACCGGTAGGCAAGGTTTGGTAGTTGAGTAATTTGAACTAGTAGTAGTTAAATGAATTCATCAAGACATAGACTAAAATGGGGATTGATTTTATATTAGATATTAGCATGGGAACAATAACTTTTGTTTGGCTCCTATGGGCACCGAGGGTTTAAAAAATTATATTGCCAAACAAACTAAAAAACTAGAAAAACTATTTTCAACTACATAATACTATAATAATAATGTATACATTTGATCCTCAACCATATTATTCTTTTAAGTAGTATCTGAAACCTAAATCTAGAAACTCACACTACACATACGAAACTTAATACAAAACAAAACAAGAAAACAATGGTCTAAGAACAATATAGCGCCAAACACCAAACACCGACAGTTACCTGCTATCGCTATCATCAGCCGCTTAATAGACTGCGCACGAGTCGGTCACACTTGGTGACTCCGATACAGATGTCCTATATCCATCTCTTTTACTCCTTTACCAAAACGAGGGTAAGGATATGCCTATCTCTCTCATGTGATTATTATAAGAACACGTGCCGGAAGGTTCGTGTTTAAGTATTCACGATGAATAAATTCGAATTATTAAGCGGATCTTTGGTTAAACGGAAACGTGGTATGCAAATTAATTGATAAGATGATAGTATGACTTAATATTTTTGCGTCGTGCGTGGCAAAATAAAAAAATATCTATTTTAGGCCTTCATTTTTATGTTTGACGACTCACATAACTGTTTGACGAGGAACCCGACTGGTCTTAAGCCACGCTAGGTGCTCATAATATGAACAACAGCATTGCACATAACGCGGCTAACGTTGCATAGAAAAAATCAACTTACTTCGTAATATATGATTAAATGGGGAAGTTCTCGAATAAACCTGAAACTTTTGCCCCAACCGCTAAGTGTAGAGATTTGCCAAACCTTCTTAAGCAGAGGAGGCTAACAGTCTATCATTGACCGTCAAACGCTGTTGATGATGATTGACAGCACGGACCAACACAAATATCAAGAATAACACTCTCGGTAGGTATTGAAGAGAAATTCCACAGAAAATGTATAGTCCAATTACAAAAAGTCTTCAAAACGAGCGTCAAATAGATGACCATCTTTCAAGTACAAGAATGAGCATACACTTTTTCTCGGCATTATAAAACATAAATTGTACTAACATACTTGTGCACCGTGACGAGGGTGTGCAACGAAGCGATGCGCAGGAGCAACGGCCTGTGCAATACTTGCTGATGTTTTCTTGCAAAACATGTATTTTGTTCGGTATTTACTGTCGTGGAGTTTCTGTTTTGATGACAGATGGTAGTGTATAATTTATATTTTGTGTGAGTTTCTATAATAAATTATGTAATAATTTTATAGTTTAAAAAACTGGCATTTTGGATTGTACACGTTTAAATTCAACAATTGCAAATCACTATCTTGCTTATAAAAAGAAAAAAAATTAAACACTTTTTTATCTTTTTTGTTAATAACTATATATCTACTTATGCTTAAATATTTTAGATTAGACTAACACTAGAACGTATAAGCGTAAAGAATAATGTTTTATTAGAGTCTGTATCATGTCAAAGGCCCGAGTGAATAGGTTGCTTATGGGGTGGGCGTGCTCTACCGTAGGTCGCATTTTCGATTAACACCAGGCGTGGTAGCAGCCAAATGACTGGCCATTAAGAAATGGAAAATTTCAATAAATAAACAAATTATACAGGGGCAGGTGCAATCTTTAAAGCAGGATCTTATAAATGTGTGTAGGTCTAAGCCTACACATTTTTGCCACAAAATTTCTTATTTTTCTTCCCGTCGTAATATCTTACAAAGTTCCATTTTCAATATTAACACTTACCACCCCAATTCAAACAATACAACCCATATATTGGAAATAGAATTTAAACCATTGGAATTCAAGTCGCGATATCGACACGGGAAGACAATCATAATTTAATGTCAGTATGGCATTCTGCCAAACTCTGCTATATTGCCTCTTATATCGCAATTTGTTCATTTCTTGAGTCAAAACCTCATGTTTCAGATGATTTGGCACTCTCTGAAACGTCTGTAGTGTGAGTGTGATTAGAAAAAAAAAGGATATAATACTTTTGAGTGTCTCGTTGATTTTTGGATCTCTTAGATCTTCTCGATCTTTATTAAAATAAAACATCATTTTCATCCTCGATTCTAGAATTTACCATAACGCTTAACCGCTGATAAACACACACGCAGAAAATCAAACATCAATCAAAATAACATTCCTAAACCCGTTAACCGTAGAGTGAAAATATTCAAACATTTTCTATAAAATTCGTACTAAAAGTACCCAGTGGCGACGGCTAACAAAAAATACTGCACCGTTTTTTCCATATTTACAAATCACAGTCGAAATTCAACCAACACCGCCCAAATGTTACCAACGGACTGGGAAAAAAAAAACAAACAAAAAATGTCCTTTGACATTGTTCTGTCATGTCAAACGTGGATTTTTTAATTTCTTTTGTGGACATTACTGAAGATAGTGTAATGAGTCCGTCTGTTCACAATGGTACTGATGTCACGGGTCCTAACTCAGATAATACAAATCCGGTGTATGCAATATGGCGACGGGGAACTTTCTGCGATGTGCACACACCCCAATGAACAGACGACGAGTTTTAATAAAACTGTTTGTTGGGAATTATGTAAGTGAAACCAATCAGACCCTTACTGATATTGTGTAGGGTTTCTTTTACAAAAACATGTTTTGTTTTCGTCATTTTATTAAATTCGAACATTAGTGTCTGACATTTTAAATGGCCGCAAATGTTGCCAAAATTTGAAGTTTACGAAACTTCATTAGTGAAAGAGTAATGAAAATTAGGCACAGAATTAAATTAAACAATTTTCTAATAAATGAAACAGCCGGGCTCAAATTCAATATCTATAATAGCTAAAATTTCAAAGCAAGTATTGCTTCAAAAGGACAGCATAATGTTCTCAAACATTATCGAGTCAAGGCCCCTAAAATTAATTTCACAGTTGAGATTTATACAAATTACGCGGACCTTAATAAATTAATTCTCTTACTCCGTATAATTTCATTAATACAAAAGCAAAAACGGTATCCAATAATAACAACGAAATATTTGACGTAAAAACGGGCGAGGAGCTCAAAAGCATCCCCGGAATTGATAGGAAACCACGAAACAATATTCCGGTGGATTCCTCCGTCGATAATATGATGTTTCCGCTAGAACGGCAGCCTAATGCGTCCTCCCGGAATCCCTTCAATTTTGTGCCAGATTATTTTGGGTAAAAATAAAAATGTTTATACAAATATCTGTGAAACTGATTTTCTTTAGCTTTTGTTCTCTTTCTACATAGAATTGCCTGCTTTCATGCTGGAAATTCGACCTAATTACCCTCAGAATTAAGTTGAATTTAATTTTAGAAATTAAAAACAATTTTTTTTTTTAAACTATCAATTTTCATATAAAAGTTATATTTTTGAAGAGTCTATTTCGTTTCTATTAGCTTGAAAAACCTGTGCTGTTCGAACGTTAGTTTTTGTTTTTGCAGTTTTTGCTCCAATGTATAACTGGAGCAGATACAAAGAGGAATAAAATTATTGTCTTTCGTTAAGACTGATCAAACTGAATAAAAAATTGAGGAAATGTTATAAAGGGAAAAAAACACAATCACACAAAACGTGTCAGAAAACAATTTCACTGAATTTATTTTCCCAAAGTTAACAGCCAACATGACAGGTGCCTACCACTCATTTAAGCCAATTGGATGGGTATTTATGGAACCCAGTGGGTCTGACCAGTGGCGCGAGAAGGTCCCAAGGGTACTGCGGCAAACTCTCTCGTTAATATTGATTCTGTCAATGCCACGGAATGTTTTAATTTTTTGTCCTGCCTCATCGGAATTTGTGCCATCCGGGACCAAGTTCAGTTATCGTGTCCCGTGCTTGTCGGGATAGATTGGGTTTTTGCCAAAATTATTTGTATTGGATAACATGCCGTTGGAATAATCTATAATTTTGTTTGAGTGAAATATTGCTTGATATTTTTAAGCAACAAAATGGTTGAGCTGCATACTTACTAAGCTTTGATATGTTATTTTGAGAGTAAATACGATAAATGATTTATCAAATGGGAGAACCATGCACGAAAGATTTGGCTCCAGCTGAGTTATACCACGTCCTCACTGAAAACTGGCGTGAAACAACCACAATGTTGGGTTTTGCCTTCGAGGACAGTTATCTGAGGTCCAATTCTTTTCCTTCCCCAATCTCTCCCTAATCCCTAAATCTCCAAAACTCGTTTGTAGTACTATCACATAAAAACCCAATTAATGATGATTGGGCAGCACCAAGTGTTTTGTTAATATTAAGTTTTATTTTAATATACCAACGTTTCTTCTAACATAGAACTTACTGTTTTTTTTAAATTTTACCGACTTCAGAAAAAGGAGGCACCTAATTTTATATTATTAATTTAATATTATTGTCTGTTTAAGTAAATGAAAACATGTATTAATTTCTACAAAGAAAATTTATTTTTTGCTTTTTAGTTTACTTTTTGAAGTCGGAATATTTTTGTTAAAAATTATTTATTTACTGTACTATAATTTTCGAATAAATTCATCGTCCTTTCTAACATAGAACTTTAGAGAGCGTTATAGGTCTTCTTTTACGAAATTGAAAAAAAAAATAACTTTATTTTTTCATTATGTTTCTGCAGCTTCTTGCCTGTAGCGAATAAAAGTGTTTCTCATTCTTCCTTTGATTTTGTTTCAGGTGTTAACTCAGTGCGCATCATAAACATTCGAGTGCCAGATGTAATTCAATATGGAACTAAGGACTCTATCACACTTGACTGTGACTTCGTGACGAACAATGTCACCGGTCTGGTGGTCAAGTGGTTTTACATGGATAAGACGACGCCAGTGTACCAGTGGATCCCACCGCAAAAACCTCAAGCTCTTGGAATTTTAAGAAATAAGGTAAAAGGAAACTTGGCTTTTGAATACTAAAAACCAGCACGGTTTATAGTTTTTCGATGTATTTCATTTTGTTATCCTTATTCTTTTTATTTCATTTTCTTATTAAATCAAATTTTAATTTTTATTTAATTTGATCTATCAATTACGAAATATTCGACAGTTTACATTATATTTTTTTTGGTTTTGGTTTTTCTTTATAAAAAGAAGTGTTTTTTGCATGTAAGTTAATACTCTTTCTTATATGCAACATACTTGTTCTTTTAATCTGTAATTATTTTAAGCCTATTATATCTAAGCTTAAACTAACTTTGCAAGGTGGTTGGTTAACCTAAATGAATAAATAAATATTGCTAAAAGGATTTGTTACCTTTTCCATCATATCCATAATTTTTAATTGGCTTGAAGAAACATGAATACTTAAATTAATAGTATATCTTATAGACATAATTATATGTTATGACCTTATTACTTACTTATTGGCGGTTATGTTTTAAACGCTACCAATTATAAGGCAAAAACTAGACGCAATATTATAACTGAAAAGTGCACAATAGCATAAATACAATTATGGTATATTATGACAAAAATTAGGTATATAAATGGTGGATTCTTTCTGTACACAGGTGGACCTATCCTACAAAGTATCTCACAACCCGTACACCCAGCATCGAGCTCTCCACATCACATCACCAGTTCCAGAGCTGACAGGCAACTACACATGCGTGGTGTCCACATTCCTAGCCGAAGATGAGAAAACGAGACCTATGACTATATTTGGTAAGTAACCAGAAACAGTTAGATACTTAAGACTTTCAATGAAAAAAGTGTAGTACCTAATCACCCTAAATGATCATCTACTCGTATACTAATATTAGAAAGAGATAAGTAAGTTTGAATGTACTGTGTGTGTATGTGAGGGAACTTTGGAACCACTGATCGAATTTCGAAATTTTTTCACAAATATATGGCTACAATGTTTCTAGGTACTAAAGGCTATGAGTTATACTTGATTTGCGTATAATAGTCGAGTAATCGCTTTAGACGCCGCTGCTTATACGCGTATGAAGCCATTGGCGGAAGCTAGTAATTCATAAGTCAAATGGTCAAAAATCATTTATTTAAATTAGACCATTTTAGGTATTTTTGAACGTCGTTCTTTTTTATGCTTATTCGTCGTTTAAGGGTGCTTTTATTAAACTCTTATATTGATTTTCCCAATATAATAAAAAGACAAGTACATAATTGTAATCACTAACTGCCAAACTCCGAGAGATTTAAAGGATACTGAAAACCATTCCGTATTAGCTATTTTGTCCCAAAAACAATTGTTAAGGTCTTTGTTAAATAAATCGTTAAATAGCCCTGACTACAGCGGTAACTCAACAACTTACTATAAACTTACAACAACATACTTTAATTTTTTTTGACATAGGTAAATTTAATTTCTGCTCCCTCTCTAGATGGAGCGGGTGAGACAGTCTCACTATTACTTACGAAAATACACTCAGTTCCATCTCCTAATCGGGGGCTTGAATTAAAAAAATCCGAAATTAAATAGTTTAAACATGAGCCACGTGACTACATATCAACACAGAACAAACAATGAAAATGCATCAATCCGTCCAGAAATTCACGCAGGAAATTACAAAGCATTAATTATTGACAGTGCACAAATGAAATGCAACGTACAATACGGACATAATAACGAGCGTGCAGCCGCCACTGGTACAGTTACTGTAGCCGGTACTAGCCACAACAATAAGCTTTGTGCACTGAGACTAAACGGAAATTACTTCGAGCAAGTTTATCTACAGGTGCAAGCAGTTTGTTGCTTGTTATAGTTCATTTTGGGATTGGATAAGTTTATCCCTTTGTACTATGAACTATGTTATAACTGTAATTTCACTTTTTAATTAAACAACAAAAGCAATTCAATATGTCTTGGTGGGTGAGGTAAAGATTTTCGCGAAAATTTCTTCTTATTTCTCGAAATCTGACAAGTACCGATGTGACTTTATCCCAATTACGATTATGTACTTTCTATGTTTATTAAGACACCGCTGGCATACGGTAAAGGAAAACATTGTGAGGCTCAACCTGGACTTATCATTTCTAATTATAAGTTTGAAATCGCCAATCCGCCTGGAGCAATTGTGGTGATTAAAGCTGAAACCTTCTCAGTGCGAGAAGGGGCCTTTGCTCAGCAGTGGGCACTTACGAGTACCTATAACTTTGATGATGAAGACAATTCGAAAAGCCACCATGTAGTGTTTTCACGAAATTCTTTAAATAAACGGAGTATTAAGAAGTAAACATAATTATCATAATTTGATGTAACCAGTTTTAGACTCCAGTAGATAATAAAAATATATCATTTTGTACAAAGAAACCAGTTCTCCGTATTAATATAATATTCGTAAAATTCATTACTTTCACGAATACCACTAATTATAATTTATAAATATAGAAGCCATGTTTTATTTCTGAATACTAAACTGGCAAAGTACGTCGTCCTGGAAATATACGTCGAATCCAGTCTGTCTGTTAATACTTTCATGTTCCATGGTAAAAAAAAGATTCGTTCTTTGTATTTTTACAAAAACCGTAATGTACAGTACATCTCGACGAAGAAAAATAATGAAATGAAGATGCGATGGTCTAGAAAGTTCGGGAAACTTCTTTGAAATGTTTTAGTAAAATTTTCTAGCGAAACAACGGTTTTTTAATATAAAAGTCAGCTTTAAGTGTATTACGAACAAGGTACGGTGGACTAAAAGTCAAAGAAAGCAAGCTAATGGAATACAAATGGCTGTTTTGCTTATATTAGAAAATCCATCAATATTTGAAGCAACAGTACAGTGTCCATCGCATTTATAATGAGCTGGAAGAGACCGGGGCTTTGTGGACTAATTAACTAGAGCTTTGCTGAAATATTACAGTCTTAATGGAATGTCTTATGAGCCAATTATATTGGAGACAGGGTTTCTAACTTTAGATACGATAAAACGCCTTCGCATAACTAACATCACATATTACTTGTAAGAAATCGCATCATACTCTTTAAGTAAGATTACTCATTATGTTTGATTTAGGTATTTCGTTTTGTTAAAGTCTTATTAATTTTCTTCTAATAAGTAACTTATGCGTGCTTAATTAACTTAGTACAATATTATCTAGATCTACATTTTAATAAATGATTTCCAAATCACGAAACTGCAGGCCTCGCGAAATCGCAGAAACGCTAAACTTTGGAATCATATTTTGGCGACGGTATTCACTATGATCTAACAACCTTCAAGACACGAACGTGCTCCTTCTTAAAAGGGCCAGCAAATAGCCTGTGTCTCCTCTGGTCCAAAAATAGTCTTTCTACTTAAACGATCCTGTCTTGTCTGTATAAAAATAACTTATACAGAAATATATTTTGAGATTTTTTAAAGAATCCTTCAACACCTTCTATGTAAATGAATTATAAACTTTATTCCCATTCCATGCAGTTTTATTCTTTGTTTGATAGGAGCAGTATCCATTACGGTTCGCGTGATCATAGTCAGTAGATATTGTGTTCCTAAAACATAGTCGTTGGAGTAAACTCTACAATCCGACAACATTTCCATTATAGACTGATGGGGTATCGACGACATTAAAGTTATGAGAAATGGGTTACCTATAAACTATTCTATTCCTTTCCTTACAATTCAAAATTTCGTTACAATATTTAGTCTTAGTGGTACCATTTTGAAGTATATTCTAGTCCGGTACGGAATAAGATTCGCAGGCATGTAGACTTGTCAGAAAACTGCTTCAGTGGTGACTACAGACTGGAAAACGTAGCGTAGGCAGCTATCCTGCTAGGTGGAACGAAGACCTCATCAGAGTTGCAGGAAACCAATGGATGGGAATAGTTACTTTGTCCGTTACAATGTCCAGCAGTGGACGTCTTCTGGCTGATGATGATGAGACATGTAGTTGGTGTTCTTCTACTGTATTCAACAGAAGGATTTTGGAAATAACCAAGTTTTAAGGCATAATTTGCCGAATTTGCTAAAGGACATACCAGAAGGATAGTACAAGTTATGTCTCTTGGCAGATTGTCTATATTCTGACGTCAGTCACAATCACGTGTCATTTACACACATTGTATTTGACAGAAACATTGATTGAACTGACAGCAACTGACGTTAACTTCACATTTGCAATTATAGTAATGTCACTTGAGTACACTATAAAACAAATACATAAAAATGTACAAATATTTTTTATTAAAACTTTTTCTGTGTTGTGCGTTAAAACTTAATCAAACATTTTCGTTTTCCAATTTCTGCTACGGAATCCAAAAATGCATTTTATAATCGTTTTGATAGGATTATATTGATAAAAAATTAAATCAATTTTTTTCATAGGCGGGATCGGTCCATGTTTTCAGTCACATCTATTATTCAAATCACAATTGTGAGTACGGGTAAATTTAATTTCAGGGATCGGATGTTTTTACAAATTCCGTTAAATAAATAATGGCTCTGTTATTTTCTAATTGCTTCCCCATCACGGACGAAATCAGAAACGAACAAATTCAATCTGGTTCATCGTGGGTATTTCGATACTAAAAATAGTGGAATCGTTTGATTTATTTTCCAGTTAGATTCTGTAAAATTGTTTATCAAACATCATTATTATTTTGCAAATGTTTTGTTTGATTCCAATTAATTACAGCTAAAATAATTGAACGCACGGGGCGTTCAATTATTTTAGCTGTTCTTGTTTTTCAGTAGATAAAAAATGTTTCTTCTTTTTTACAATATTTGTGCATGTTTTAAAGAAATAGGTATGATGCTTCTATTTATATGAACTGGTTAGAAATTGCACACATAAATCTATTAAGAAAAAATAACTACTTTTTTATTTTATTTATATTTTTGCTCTTTACTAACTCTGTTATGTATACCGCAGTGCCAGAAACAAAGTTCGACATGATCCAAGATCGACTGGATGACAAGTACTTGAACATCATCTGCTCCGTTGAAGGGGTCTACCCGAAGCCAGAACTGGTCATCTTAGCTGGAAACCGGTATGTTTGATTGTTTCAAGCTTCTTTTTGATAGCATTAGGACGTAACATTTTTTACAGGTCGATCATTAATAATAATAACATCTCTTCTTACACGTAGAAGGTTTAAGAGTTAATCACCACGTTCGTTAGTAAATAGTATATCTAAATAACCTGAGGGTGCAGTCCCATTAATAACATTAAGCAAATAAATAGTTGGTTAATATACGAGTTAATTGACCAAAAAACAATATCGTCATATTAAAAAAAACGATCATATTTATCATCGTATTTATTTACAGATGAATAATTACCGTACATACCGTTATGTGCAAATTCTTACTTACATATATTATAAAGCCTTTCCGAGAATACAGGGGTAAACTGTTTGTTTTTGTTTAAAAAGAAGTCTTACTTTTCCCTGGATTTTTCTCCTGTATCGTAGGTACATTTCAATTCACATGCCACGCAGACCCGAAATAACAATCTGTGGACCACTCAAAGTATTGTTCCGAGCGGGAATAAAATCCTTGACACGTTCCACAGCAACCAGTTAACCGGCCACTGGGTCAACCATGCAGCCAACAGTTATCTTTGTGGTGGATAGTCTATTTATCGAGTAAGGCTATACAATATAACGTAATGACAATAATTATAGCAGCCAGCTAGTTACAAAATATGTAGGTTAAAAAGTTAAAATAGATATCAGCCATGAGCAAAAGTCTCAAATTGAAAATTTCTCCAAGTCTTAAAAGATCAACGATCAAGGCATTTCTGAGAATAACTGATGTATAGATAACAGCATGTAATGCTATACCGATTTCTCAAATTCCTTTGATACATTTTCGATCTTATCATTCTACTGTGTAACGTTCAAAATCAATTAACCGGAAATTAACTTATTGTACCTTCGTCTGTACTTTGGTCGGTTTGAGATATCATGCTTAATTGCATCTTCATTGCTGGTTCTATGATTTCTATATCGGGGTGCAAATCGTGTGTGACACTTAATACACTTGAATTATATCTGAATATTTTTAATTCTTTGAAATAGACTTTTATTAAGATATAAAATTTCAAGTATTTAAGTCAAATGTTACTGATGAATGAAATGAGTAATTGACAATTTTAATGGTGGATTTTTTAGATACAACTACATAACTTGGCTTGACTCCCAGTTTAACACCAACTGTGTGCCTGACGCTATGCCGTTTGTTGACATTATTGTTATTATGTGTCGTTATTGACTTTGGGCGTAGGAAAAACCTCTTGAACAAGTGTAATATTCAATCTAATGAGAAATTGCACTTCAGTAACTATTTATTCTAATCCCCAAATGATGTAATCAATATGTGATAAAAGAAAAAAACTTACACTACTACTGCTCCAAAGAAAATTTACAATGACAATGACGCGACGACTGGTTTTTAAAATGAAAACCCTTTTTACATTCAAGTCCTAGTTTTCCTTTCGACCTCGAAACTTACAAATAAACAACAGAAAATAGCCGTCAAATAACAATACGAGTACCCCGAAGCCTGTCTAGACACTATTGACAATATAAATAAGGCTTCGAATTAATCACAAAACCTCTTCCAAGAGTCTGAGTAACAAACAAATAAAATGTATCAAAATAAAAACGGGAAGGTAAACAGAAAATCATTTCAAATATGATATAGTGGAAAATAAATTCCAATGAATTGGTTCGAACAGGGCACAACGGCTGAAACTTCCGGACGTCCGATTGGTTCTTGAATAATACCGGATACGATCACTTGAACGTTCCTCAATCTTGAAACATACGGCCGGATATTGCTGCAAGACACGCTTTGTTAGAAGAACGGTACGAACACAATGGCATGTAGCATTTTTGCATATTTATTTATTGTTCTCGACCTTAGTTCAACTTTTAGTTATTTTTATTTAATACTAGCAAACTCAGCCACACTTTGCTTTGGCTAAGGTAAATAATATTGTGACTTGTGACTATAAATTGAGTGTAAGCTATCCTTTTTTTCAAGTTGGATCAAAATGCACACGGAATGCAAATCGAATTTAAAATCGGTTTAGTAGTTTAGGAGTCCATCGCGGACAAACACGTGACACGAAATTTTTATTTATATATAAAGATTTCAGACTAATAGTTTCCGAATATTCATTGTATGAAAGACATTATGTGACGATGATACTAGACGAAACCGAATGTCGATTAGATTTTCTTTACTGAATAGCCGAAGTCATTAGTCAAAAACGTTTATAAAGGCGATAAAATTGACAAATTTAATCATTTATTTTACTTGCCTTTTAACAAATTCGTATCCTTTACAGACACGCTTGCTTATTATCCACGACACGACAAATACAGTTCTCTCCACATTACCGTTCAAAATTTCGTTCCCTATAAAATCCGCCTTAGAAATTTTAGACTGAATAATTTGGATGCTCCGTGAGAGTTGGCTAACAACCCCGACATCGGGTTGGCGATCACATACCCACCCGAGTGGATTTAGTTTGTCGTACTGATATTACCTCCACTCTATAATCCTGGTTCGACGTATACGTGTATTCGTATGAAGGCAAGTAGTCTTTAATCTTCCTCTGCCTTGTCAGCGAAATAAGAATAGCGGATATGAAAATTTTTTTCAACAATGTTGATTTATTTTTTTCTGCTGATGTTAAGGTCTACATGGTTGTTGCTCTTGTTCGGATTTCTTTTGACAAAATACTTACAGAAATTTGAATTCGTTTTTAAATAGAATACCATTTACGTACTTCCTACGCTCTAGCTTGACGTCTTTTCATTTTCTTTTTTTTACCTCCTTTATGACTTCTCAATACTTAAAAGTTGTGACCCTAATTTTCTCGAAAGGTTAAATATAAATAAGAATTACCATTATCTTACATTACCTCATTAAACAAACTGCCTATGAAAAACGCAAATTTAAATATAACCTTGAAACAATACACTAGGTATATCATCTCTTGACAAAAAATCGGAATTTAAACCTTATTGCATACAGACTAAAAGGAACTATCAGTCTTTTCCCTTAACAGATCCGGCAAAATAAATGTTTGTTCAAACAATGAAATCTGTCTACAGGCCACTGAACGCCAAGTCGTCGATCAAAGTCATCGACGGCCGGTACACAGCCCTGACGAGTTCCGTCGTGAGGATAGACGCCCTCCCTCCAACTGTGGAGATTCTCTGTGACATGCAAGTGCCACTCGCCAACTATTATAGCAGGAAAAGGGATATATTTTATAGAGGTAAGTTTTCACATATACGATTATTACTTTTAATAACTTGAGTATCGGGTACATCCAACTTTAAATTAAATGTGCAAATAAATAATTATTTGATCATATAGGAAAAAGACGTAATATTAACTTGCATTATAATCACGCTTTCTCGAATAATACTTTGTTTGGTAGTTTAGGCGTGAACAGACAGACTGGCAGACTGGCGTACTGTAACATCAAAATAAGGAAGTTAAGATAAGAGGATATTATAATATGGAATATATTTTTATAAGATAGGTCGACAAACTAGCAGACGTATTAACTGATGGCAAGCAATCGCCACCGCCCATGGACGCCCGTAACACCTGATTAGTTATAAGCGCGTTGCCGGCCTATTGAAGTTTCAGAGATTTAGGGCAACGGAGATTTTGGGATTGGAGAGAAATTGAAAGAAGGTAGGAGAAGAAGGATTGGGCCTCTTGTAATCTCACTCACGCGACGAATAACAACGCCGTGGTTGTTTCATGCCGGTAGTCTGTGAAGTTGTGGTATCACTCCGGTCGAGCCGGCTCATTCATGCCAAAGCATGGCTCTCTGACAACCATAAATTGCAGATATTAATCTTCTAAACATATAGATGAGACAAATTAATATAGACATGACATTTTATCAATAACAAGCTTGTTATCAGGCACATACAAAGAATGTATAATAATATCATCGTACGAATTATTCCATAGAACATTTTCCTCAACATTTGAATGAACTTATTCATAGAAATCAATCCATATGCGACATTCCTCATCAAAGGAGATATAAATCCACATTTTGACTGCAATAAGTCCTATAATTGCTTGCTATGAATGAGCATAATAATGTGTTTTCCTTTAATATTGTTAAAGGTAGACTTATTAAATGTTTTTGATAATAAAGCTTACGTGTAAGCATACAAAGCATCATTATTATGTTAATTGAACTTAATATGATAAGAAATCGTGCCACAAGAAAATATTGGCACGTGTTTTTTTTGTCACCAGATGGGGCTAATTTAGCAACAGATGAGTTTGTCCAATCCCTGTAGCTTTTAAAATTAATCGTCCAATAATGTGACACTAGTTAATATTCTATTGGATCAAAAGACGAGAGGTCCACACTAGCGCCATCTGGTTACAAAAAAACTGATCCCTATTGAATAGTTTGGGCCGGTAACAATAATAGATCGCTAGTTCACATTGGTATTTTGGCAAATGGTAGTGTAACCATATTTGCCGTCAATTTTTTTTATGTAATACGTTGGCAAACTAGCATACGGATTACCTGGTGGTAAGCAATCAGCACCGCCCGTAACGGAGGAGTTACGAGTGCGTTGCTGACCTATTAGGGATTTGGCGATTGAGGGATTGAGGAGGGATTGGGGGAGGGGAAGGATTGGGCCTCCGGAAACCTCACTCACATGGCGAAACACAACGCTGGGGTTGTTTCACGCCGGTTTTCTGTAAGGCCGTGGTATCACTCCGGTCGAGCCGACCCATTTGTGCCGAAGCCTGGCTCTCCCACAGAATCTACATCAAAGTTTCACAAAAATAATTGTGCTATCTTAACATTAATAAAATTCACAATTTATTTAATTTAATTTTGTTACAGATCCACCATTGTCGTCAACTGAGATTCCTAATTTGAAACAAGTGGCGCCTGACTCAGGTGATTATATTCAATTTATTACTGTTTCTTTTAGTCATAGTTTTAATAAATGTAACAGTTGGCTTTAATTATAACTTCAGTTCTTACCTAAAATATGTTTTTTTTATAAAAAGCAAATCAAGTATTTTTTTGTTTATTAGTAAAATTACAAAAAAATAGTTAAATATCTTATTAAATTTGTCTTTTGTTACTGGTAAGTGTCCGTCTACGTCAACAAATAATAAAATAAAAGGTTCAAACAAAAAAAAAATACGAAAGCTAACTGATTATTGAAAAGTTCACCATTTATATTGTCCTGACATATATATAGTATATTAAAAAAACCAATAGTCATACTGATGATTTTTCATAAAAATATATTTATATTTTCTTTTTTCTTACAGGTCACCACCACGCATCAACATCAGTGCTCATCATTACATCAATAATCATCAGCCTACTAAGATTACAAGAAACTTGACAGGATTTGGTTTACATAATTTAATTTTTGTATAGTAACAATTGTGAGACATACTAAAATTATTAAAAATAATGACTTACTCATGTGAATTAACAAAGAAAAGCTCTTCAAGTTTCAGATAGCAGCTCTTATCCATGAGCAGATTTTGTTGCGCCAATAAGAGCCTTAAATTCACTTATCACTGTCGAATAAGTAATTATTTTCAATAAATATTATGTTTATAATTATTCTACTTAAATTGCTACTGAAAGTATGTTATTTAGGTACAGTCGTCCTAAGTAAATGAAGTCTTAAAGTTGGTGGTTTTATAAAGAACAGAGGCATTGGTCTAATATATTTTGTAGATACTTAATATTATATTATTTTGTAGATTTATATAATGTTTATATATAATAATAAGTTCAGGTTATTAAAAATATAACAAATGGCTACTATCCAAAGAAAAGTGAAATAATTCCAAATGTTTTTTTAATACAAAAGAATTAAATATTATTATTTTTTTAAATTAAATGGCTGCTACATATTTTCCATTACACTAATAATTTGAAAACCTTATTCGACTCTACTTTGTCTAATATATTAAAACAATAAAATAAATAGTAATAATATATTTAATTATGTGTGTTCACAATAAAGAAAACTTATCGAATATTTTTTTATGGTTGTAAATAAATATAAGAAATAGGTATATTATCTATTTTTTAGAAATGTTTTGAACATTCCAAAGATAAGTTTTATCTAGTCTTATAATAAAATTAAGTACTGAAAATGCATTTTTTATTTTTATTCCTGTTTAGTTCAACAATCCATGTATTAATAATAGTACTCCGATGCTGTATGAAGTACGAAGCGAATATAGCACGAAGCCGTCTAGACTATCTATATAATTATTTTCTGAAACGAGAGAAAGTAAACGTTACAAAAATGCTACTTTAAATTACTAAATGGATATCAATATTTATTGTTATATTTTATTATATTTTGAAAATTAGGATTATATAAGAAAAGGGCATTAGATAATACAATAAATAGCATGTAATTACTGTCTATATAAAAAAAAACCTTATATGAAAATGTTTTTATAATAACTATCGTGAGACATACTAAATTAACTAAAAATCGCGGGTTACTCAAGTGTAAGTATTGAGAAAAGCTCTACTACTTTCGAACCACAGAGGGGTTTTTCCTCATGAGCAGCGTGCGCGGACGCGGCGACGTCGCGCAGCCTACTCCCCCTCCCCCCCTCTGTGGTTCGAAACTAGTAGAGCTTTTCTCAATACTTACACGTGAGTAACCCGCGATTTTTAGTTAACTTATATGAAAATCTAAAACTGCAAGTACCTACTTAGTACATCAATCTAACCTCGGTCAGCAAGCAGTCTTTAAGTACTTATTTAAGTGCCTATTACTGAGCAAAGGCATCTTATAAGCCCAGTTTCCTACCCAATATATTACTTTGCTTTAAGTTAGTGGAATCTAAATAATAAATAAAGAAAATGTCACTTCTGTAATTACTAGGTTTCGAACTCTTAACTTCACATAACCTCTTATCATCAAAAGACCATTACAGATAGGACTCAACATGACCAATGTTTAGCCAGAGTCGTGGGTCGAGCGAAATAACGTATCGCGGTCTCGCCCTGGAGCAGGAGAAGAAACGGGGATGTTTAGTCAGTAAAAGTCTGACACTCCGTTTCGCAATACCCTTGGACAAAAGAGAAGTACTTTGATTATTTTCTCTTTAGAAAAAAGCTTGATAAGTACCAACTGCTAAGCAAAGGCCTCTTCTCATACGAACAAGGTATGAGCATTAATTACCACGCTCTGTTAAGACATATTGGCGATATCAAGCTAAAAGACTAGGTTTCCTCATGATGTTTTCCTTCACCGTTCCATTGTGGTCTCATATACCTAATTATACTTAAAAGGTACATACATATAACTTGGAAAAAATATCTTAACATCAGAGCTATACTTTTAACCTAGTTACAAACTAACAACAAACAGTCATACAGTTATTTATTCGTAAGCTAAACCAATTTAAATGTACACAATAAAGCTAGGCATGTGTTCACAACGGACCGCAACAATTCCAACCGGCATAGGCTACGGAACTCGTTAAAAAGTTCAACCAAATACATATGTTCGTACGTACGTACACACAATGTATGTAACTATACGTAGACATGAAATATTTTGATCCAATTTACATGGGAATACATGATATGCGGTTCTCTTTGTTGTTTTCTATTCGAATCGCAGTTTTGAAAATTCTCAGTTAAGTTCCCGTGGGTACGACTGACCATATTCTAAGTTGCAACATGGTGGGATCTATTGCTCAGGTTTTTTTAATGGGTGTTGTGTGGGCTTTATATTGTAGCAAAAAAATCACACAATATATGGATAAAGCTGCCCTAGTAAGCTTATTGTATCCGTTGCATAAAATAATATCATATGAGATGTCCTGTGTAAGTAGTAAAAATACAAAATACATTTTCTTTACAATTATTCATTAAAAAACTAACTATTAAAAAACATTTGACGATATTCTTAATTCTTATAGCTAAATTATCGGAGGTAAGTATGCTAAATGACGTAAAAAAAAATATATCGTACATTGCTATTTCAAACAAAATACACAGAAAAGTATCATTTTTAACAGTAGATTTTGAATTTAAGTAGTTAGAAACTGCATCATGTCCAATCCTTGATTTAGATAATCTTTTACTTATGACATCTTGGCTGTCTCACAATTAACGATATGGTGACGTTTAGAAGTCTAGATTCAATACGTAGCATTCAACTCCAGC